GCTCAAATGTATCATTTATTTCAACTAAGTTTGAAAAATAAATAAGAAGGTCAATTAAATTACGAAACATGAGGTAAAGTTCTCCTTTTTAATTTAATTGGTGCATTTATTCATATATTTCTGCTTTTATTTCTAATTATGACAGTTTTGGTCCTCCATACCTAAGCAGAAACAATGACTATTTTCAGTTTAAACCTCCATTTCTAACTCATAAAACCAAAACTAAACATCAAACCGTGGCTCAAACTCATAATTACTTTAAGCTCTTTTATTAATAACCAACTATGAGAAATCTACATGTAAACAAACAACAACCAGGAAGTTGCAGGACCTCTTAATGCCTGATGAAAATTAATAAAATATTAAATTTTGCCAACATTTAAAACAGAGAAAAGCGGCTCAAATGTTAATAAACTTTTAATTATGTAAAAAAAAAACAAGATAAATGTACTTTCAAAGCTTTTGTTAAAGTAAAAATGACACAAGAAACACATTTGTGTTCCTCGTTAACGTGTTTCTCTGTGGTAAAATTGGAAACATTAAAAGTGCAGCTTTAGCAGCGTTCAGATCTATGGTTGTAAAATACATACGGTTCTCCCTGTGACTGCGAAACAGCAGTGATGCGAATATTCCCCAGCTCCCACTCAGAAAAGTTCTCTTTGGGCTCAGGGGTGAAGCTGAAGACCCCCGAGTTGGGCTGATTCCTGCTCAGAGAGTAGAGAAAGCTCAGCTGGGCCCGCGGGACGGACGTCCCTGCCTCTGACTCGCTGAGCTCTCTGTAGCCCCACAGCTCCACGTCGACCCCCTCTGCTTTGATTAAAGAGCTGTTCCAGGTCAGCTGGAGCTGCCCTGCTGGGCCCCGGGTGCCGTAGTTGATCCACCGTGTTGCGTTCACCAGGGTGACTTCAAAATCAGGGTCTGCTTTGACGGGATGGACTAAAATAAGAGGGGAAATAAATGTTAGGACTAAAACAAGTTTATCAGACCTGCTTTTAGCAACAAACTACCTGGGAACAAAATCAGAACAAAATTATTTATCTTGTTAACTTAATTTTCCATATTTCAAGAAGTCTTATAAAGTGCAGTTGTCTTATTCCATTGGCACAATATTTCACTTAATTTCTGAGTCTGAATCTTCTCAAACTTTTCAAATTAAGTGAAATAATCTGCCAAATTTCCAGGCTAACAAGATTAATAATCTAACATCCTGCTCTTGCTCAGTATATAAGTCTCAAAACAAGATGAAAAATACTTTTGCCTTGATATATCCGATCCATCGTATCAAAACGAGGATTGAATCTAAATGTGAGATGTGGAGAAAGAGGCAGGTGTGTTTTGATTAAACTGTTTGCAGAAATTTTGTCAAAAATATTGAATTGAATCTTTAAATCTTAAACCATTTAAAAACATAAATAGCCAAATCCATTGCAGAATTATATAAAGTAAGGGACTTATTTAATGATAAAGCACTGTTTATATTTTATAATACAATAAATGTTCCACACTTGATTTACTGTGTTGAAGTCTGGGGTAAAGCGTGCAAAACAATCACAAATCCTATTTTTATTCTACAGAAAAGAGCCGTCAGAATTATCACCAGAAAACATTACTGTCATCCATCGAATATATATTATTATCTAAATTGAAATTATTAAAATTTTATGAGTTGGTTGATTATAAT